ACGAATGAAATTAGTAATATAGATGATATATGTTTACCAGTACAATCTTATATATTGTATTAATAGGTGACATTTGGAGAAGCTTAAGAATGAAATAACCGGTAGAGTACAGCGCATAATATTCAGAAAAAACATAAGAAAGAATTTTCAGATTGGTTCAGAATTGATGTAAGTTTTGTACAATTAAAATTTGAAGTTTCATAATATAACTTTAAGTTAACTTTTTCCTAAATATTCTCATATTATTTGTCTTAGGTTAAAAAATTACTTCTTGATGGCACTACATTACCAGATAAAATTATTATTTATGCACAACATCCTTACTACGAAGTAAGACGTTAGTCAATGGGTATAAATTCCGAATGCTAGAGACCGATGATAGAAGGGTAACCCAGAATAGTTGGGTCATGGGTTGTTTTGCTCAAGAATGTTTTTCAAGTATAAGAGATCAGAACCCAGTTCTAGCTGACAATATTATAGCCAATTAGAAGACATTGTGGAGATAATCTACGGGTTTGGTAAACCAAAACAATATAGTTACATGATGTTCAAGGTTCGATGGTGTCTTGCAAAAATATAAAAGGATCATTAGGGGTTTACACTTGTCAATCTCCACCGAGAAATATATATGAATGAGAAATTCATTTTCGCAGAACAAGCATCTCAGTGCTTCTTTATGAAAGATTCGAATGTAATGATTGATTGGGTGGTTTTGTACAAGGAGTCAAGTTATATTATTCTTCCTAATAACAATAAAAAAATGATGAAAAAGTGAAGATAATTATAATGAACTAATTGGGTCAGCTGATGACGTTTGGTAAGACTTCTCTTACACGCAAAACGTGGCGCTTGATCAAATAAGTAAACAAATAAAAGACAAACTATAGCAAATATACTCAGTAGATCTCGTGGAAAATAATTATAATAGGTATGAACTATTTTACAATGTATTATTGTTTAAAAAATTCCTAATAAAAATCAATAATGTTTTTCATAATAATTTGACTTTTGTGCATGTATATCTTTCTTGTTAAGTATCTTAAAAATTTAATTTATAGATAATGAATGTGAGGCTCTTTAGTGAGGACTGTGATCGATCACAGAGTATCACTCCAGGCACAGGTCATATTGAGGAGACATCACCATCTCCTTATGCAGGTATAAACTATTTAATATTTTAATATCTTTTATAAAATTATTAGCTATCTAGTTCATATTATTCCTTGCTTGCATATGTGAGTTATTCAACACTCGGCCCCTCTGGTGCACCACGAGCACTATCCCCTTAGTAGTTAATATTTCATATGATCAATTAAATTTTTATATTAATTATGGTATACAACAACGTCGTATACGTCACAACAGAATGGTGTTGCTGAAAGAAAAAATAGAACATTACTTAATGTAGTTAGATACATGTTGTCTCATTCTGGTCTCTCTAAAAACTTTTGGGGAAAGCATTGTTAATTGCAAACTACATTTTAAATAGAATTCCCACCAAATCAGTAGTATCTACACCTTATGAATTATGGAATGGGAGGAAACCTAATTTGAGTCATCTCAGGAAGTGGTGGATCTATAGCCCATGTTCTCATTCCATGTTAACTTAGAGATAAGTTAGATTTTAAAACAATAAAGTGTAGATTCATAGGATATTCAGAAAAGTCAAAAGGTTATAAGTTCTATAATAAATAAAAAGGAGTCATTGAAAGCAGAGATGCTACATTTCTAGAGAATCTAGAGGAAGAGGAACAAGTTCGAGAGGAAACAGAACCTCTAACTGTAATAGATGATGATTATTACAGTGTTGTTCCCACTAATGACCCTGATATTGTGAATGAACCTAACCTTAAAAATGATAAAATATCTATGGAAAATAATATGCCTAATCAACCGATTGTAGGCAACAAAAAGCCAAGAACACAACCTTCATGGATGGATGATTAACTATTTATATTCATGTGAGTCATCATGTTTCTCGGTAGATACAAATATAGAAGAATAAGATCCCTTAACCTTTTCTGATGCGATAAAATCGCATGAATCAGCTTTATGGCTAGAATCTATGTGAGAAGAACTTGATTCCATAGAAAAGAATAAGGTATGGGAGTTATGTGATCTACTAGAAAATAGAAAAGCCATAGGATGTAAATGGGTGCTCAAAAAGAAATATCGTGTTGATGGATCTATTGCTAAATTCAAAGCACAGTTAGTTGCCAAAGGTTATAACCAGAAGGCAGGAATAGATTTTCAGGAGACGTAATCTCCTGTAGCTAAATTTACATCCATTAGAATTATTTTGGCTATTGTTGTATATTTTGATTTGGAGTTATTCCAAATGGATGTTAAAACTATATTCCTTAACGGAAAGTTAAAGGAAGCAATATATATGCAACAACCTGAAGGTTTTCAGGTGAAAGAACATGAACATAAAGTTTATAAATTAATAAAATCTCTATATGGTTTAAAACGGTCTTCTAGACAATGGTATCTTAAATTTCATGATGCAGTTACTAAACTTGGTTTTATTCAAAATAAATTAGATAATTATGTATATGTCTTGAAAAGTGGGAGCAAGTTTACTATATTATCCTTATATGTGGATGATATATTGCTCGCTGGAAATGACATAGAAATGTTGAATAAAACCAAGGCAGATCTTAGTAAAAAGTTTGAGATGAAAGACATGGGAGATGCATCATATATTCTTGGAATTCAAATAATTCGAGATAGAAAGTCTAGAATGCTAAGTTTAAACCAAGAAAAATATTTAAGATCAGTTCTTAAAAGGTTTGGAATGGAAAATTCTAATCCGGCACCAACTCCGTTGGTTATGGGAAATAGATTATGTAAAGAGCAAAGCCCTGGAGGGGCAGAAGCCATTAGATGTTCCTTATGCTCAAGCAATTGGAAGCTTAATGTATGCAATATTATGCACCAGACCTGATATAGCTTATGTTGTGAGTCTCGTCAGTCGATATCAAAGTAATCCAGGACCAACACATTGGGAATCTGTTAAAAGGATATATCAGAGGTACATTGACTCATAGATTAGTTTATCAAGCTGAATCGCTTGAACTCCTCGCTTATTCCGATGCTGATTTCAGAGGTGATAAAGATGATGGAAAGTCCACTTCGGGACACTTATTCATCTTTGGAGGAGGAGCTGTTTCTTGGAGTAGCAAAAAACAAGGGTGTGTTGCTAGATATACGCAAGAAGCTGAATATATAGCTTGTAGTATGACAACTACACATGCTGTCTGGATAAGACGGGGCTTATATCCTTACTACAGATATGATTGCCGATCCTTTGACAAAAGGAATACCAACAGAATCTTTTATCAAACATGTAAGTTTGATGGGACTTAGGAATAAATAAGTCCAAGTAAAATTTTATGAATAATGAAATAAGAGTTACTCTCTACGGATAGTGGGAGTAATGATAAGGAGAAACATCTGATCTCACGGATAGTGTGAGTCATATCACTTGGTTGATTTGGTCAAGTGGGAGATGTTACCTTGAATCGGTCTTCGGTGACCAAATCAACGTTCGTTTCTCTGTTGAGAAGAACGTGGAAACGTGGGTTTGTTGAGAGGAAATCTCTCATGGGGCGGATTTGAGGGGGGTGGAGATAGTGGGCTTAGGCCCTATAAAAGGAGGGTCGATCTCCTTCAGAAATCACAACAACGAAAATAAAAGAAAACCTCTTACCATTATCTAGGCAAATGGGTTTGCTAAATTTCACAAAACTCCTTAAAAGTTAAGCTGTCTAACAAGAAAACCTCCTGAGCCATATTTTTCCCACTAAACACTTTTAAGGGTGTGTTTGGCAACTCACTCAAAATTGCGCCACAGGTCCTAGCCTAGTTTTATCTCAAACTAGTTTTAGTTTGGAGGGGGAGAGGGTGGTCCAAACTTCAAATTGTTTAGTGGCTACTATTTGGCCTAAAAAATTGAGCCAGAATTGGCTTAGTTTTTTGACAAATGGAAAAAAAGCTCAAAACTGAGTTAGGGTTCAGCTGTGGATCAATTTTAAAAGATAGCCAAACACACTCTAACTGTTTCCAAAAATACACGTGTAATGGCCCTTGAGCCAAATAAAATAAAATAAAATCTCTGTCATAAAATTAGAAAACCATCTTAAAAAATTTAACCTGAAAATTTATAATTTTTTAACGTTTATAGTGAGGATCAATAGAGAGTACGTGAGAAGTGAAATTTTTAAAAAAGAGAAAAAGGTTAAGAGTATGAGCTTCAATCTTGACCGGTGTACGAGGAAATAAAAGTCAGGAGCCAAAAGAGTTTAACAGGTTCTATGGGAAATTTGAAAGAGCTACTAGAAAAACCAAAGTTCAAGAGGGGCTTCCTAAAAATAGCCCCAAGTTTTAGCGGATTGAGCTGGATTTGGCGGCACTGCCTTTTTCTTAAAAACAGTACTTTACTTGTTTCTTGAAACAGTAATTTATTAGTTGTTTTTGGTGCTGCGGATTTCATTACTCTATTAGTTGTTTTTTGTGATATAATGGCCGATATCCAATATATCACCCGACATCCCCAATATCGATTGATATTACGCCTCGTTTGGTACGTAGGAATGGACTCAAATGAGAATGGAATGGAAGAAGGAATGGAATGAAATGAATGTGAGAATGGAATGGTCATTCCCATTCTCATGTTTGGGTGTAATTTATAAAATAAAATGAGAATGAACGTATTTTAAAATTGTATATTTTATTGATTCCCACTTAAGTGAGAATGCCCATTCCCTATCACTTCATTGGGAATACTCATTCCCACGTAAAGTGGGAATTGATGAGAAGTGGGAATGAGCATTCTAACTTCAAAAAAGAGGGTGTGTTTGGTAGAAAGGAATGAGAAGTGAGAATGATCATTTTATTCCACCACATTCCCGCGTACCAAACGAGGCCTTAAGGTGAAAGCCTCATTTCTCTTCCCCTCCCCCTCTCTACCCTCCATCCAAACAGGGCATTAGTTTAGAAAAGACAACTGGTCTTATAAAAATCCTAACCTGTGTAAATCGGCAATATAGAGCCTATCTCTTGCTTTCTGGCAGCAAATCCAAATCTGGCATTCGACCTGGCAAGGAATAAAAGAGCAGGACCCCCAATCCAAAACCAAATAAATCTCCATTGATTTTGATCTGTGACGTCGCAAATTCTAACAGCGGCCTCCTCCGAACATGATGAGGGAGCTCGTTAAAGGTGTGCATTCTTTCTTTCTTTTTTTTCCCTCTGCAATGCAATCTTCCTGCTTGTTTAAATGCCTCACTCGTTTAAATATTCCATTCACCTTAATTTGGACCCACTCTGTAATTAGCTGCTCTGTTTCTTTAATTTATTGCGCTTTTTTGACTGCTAACGGCCCACGAATGAAGAATTTCGTGTGTTCTTCAACCTCGAAATTGAGTATTCTAGTCTGGTAAGTTCACCAGCAGAGCCTCTCCTTAACGTATCAAAGAGTGGCAGTTCCAAACACTAGGCCAGTGCACGCGCACATTTTTTTTTTAATTTAGTTTTATGTGTGTATGCTTTATTGGTTTCATTTTAACCCTTGTTCTTGATTTCTTATTTCTGTTTGATTTCTGTTTGATTTCTAATTCTTTATGGTGCAGTTATTACAATATTGTTTTCCCTCAATATTACACAAACTGCCTTTTTTTTTTACTTTCCTTCTAAAAGCTGTCTGAAAAACTGCAGATATTACTAAGGTAATCTTTCTCAAAACCAATTAAATGACATAGTAGCATTTTTCAAATCTGAGATTATTCGGTAAGAAGTATCCGGTATCTCTTACTACCAAATAACAGATACACTAAATTCACCTGTTGTGGTATATTCTCAATAAAGAAAGTAGAAACACAGGATAGTCAATAAATCTAAATAAACCGCAGTCGCTGTAAATGTAACATTATCTAAAGAGCCACATCAAATCATAAGAATACACTATAAGATGCCTTGACAATTGAGATATCTGACATAATAATCTCAAGTAAATGTTAATATTAAACTGAAAGGCTGAAACATAACAATTTCAGAATTGCAAGCAGACTTCCTTCCATAGCAATTTAAATTCTTACAAAATATTGTCTCGTCATTCCTGCCGCAAACACCCAACATGACAATTAACATGTACAACAATAACGACAACAAAACCTCACCATAGAAATTACAGTATAAAGAACACTTTACCAATGGAACTTTTTTTAGTCCAAACAGATGTAGAAGAGGAGGGGGGTTTGGATTTGAGGCTGTGGGATCCAAGGTGACTGCAATGCTAAGCAGACATCAAGAACAGCAGAAAGGTTTTGAGATCATGTACATAATTAGAACTAAAAGTGTTACTGCTGACTGCTAGTATAAGAACTTAGCCTCACTGTATTTATATTGAGCATGGTCATTGGTCAAGTTATTAGGAATGATCACTGTCAGAAATAACATAATTTCTCAAATATGAAACTTTTTTGGAGTTATCGCATCTTTCTATTACTGCAACCTTTACTGTGAACAAGTAAGCCTGCAACATACTTTTGTTGATTAGGTTCAGATTATACATTTAATCTTTATCTTGTCTCTGCACATTTTATCCTTTCACACTCATTCACATTTAATCTTTGAACAAATAATTCAGGACATTTATTTCATTAAATATATATTAATTACCAGCTGAAATGATCACAGATGATAGACACTCCAAATAGCATTATGGTAAGGAAGTTGTGAAAAAAACTGTTTCTTTGTCACTTGAAATATGTAACAGGGAGTGAGTGGCATTAACATGAGAAGCACTTTCTAGTATTGAGAAAAATACATTCGCAAAAAATGCCAAAAGTCATAAATGATATTAAGACCATATCGCTTTGTTGCAAGTCATATAAAAGGACATACTGATACATATATCGTCCATTTCAGGGATATTCAAAGCAATGCCTACATTACACACAAGATAATTGTATTATGGTATGTATTATAAGAAAACCTTGATAACATTTTTTATCAAATAAAATTGCTCCTCATAACATAAATAAATTAAAGTAAGAGACATTACAATAAAATTTGTTTTTACATTTGTAGCTTGAAATTTTAAAGGGAGATATAGGATACAAAATAAAACAAAAACTTTTTTTAAAATATAAATATTTATATTTATTTCCAAAAATAGTTAACATAATGTTTTATTACAAGAAACATCCAACTTTCTGAAAGTGGGATGTTTTTCAAAACTTTCGATTTGTAACTAGTAACTACCTGAGATTGGCGCTCCTTGTTAGGGTATACGCCAACAAGAACGCCTCAAACGAAGACGCAAAACACATTCAAACGATCTTGGAATCACAGAATAAAACTAGCAAACACAAATTCAATCACAATACTCACAGATATAACATGGTTCACTCTTATGGAGCTACTCCCCGGTGCAACGACGACGCCCAATTCCTTTATATTCCTTTCGATATTATAAAAGAAAAAGATAAAAGAGAACACCCTCTCTTGATCAAGATACTCTTCAAAAATTCACACACTCTCTTAAGGTCTCTCAATGATATTACTTATATCTGTATCTTTCTCTTTCTCTCTTTGCTACTGAGATACTTTACAATCAAACTTAGGGGTATTTATAAGTTTTCTTATGGGGGTAGGTGAATACTATTTGGGGGTACGTGAATACTGTAGCAGGGGGATAGGTGAACACTATTTGGGGGTAGGTGAACATTGTAGCAGGGGGTGGGTGAGAAGGCTATCCACACAACCTCAATGTTCTCAACAATCTCCCACTTGGAGAGTCTTCTCAACAAACTATGTTTCTTGATTGCATTATCCGGATGTCTTATATATTTGGCGTCTTACACGACCCTCAACGTTCTCAATGGATGCCATATGAGGTTGCACACAACCTCAACTTCTCGAGCGGAACTGGCTTGGTTAGCATATCGGCTGGATTGTGCCTCATATCAATCTTTACAAGCTTGAACTCGTTTCTGCTTTGCCATCTCCGTATGGTATGATGCTTCACGTCAACATTCTTGATCCGAGTATGGAATGCGTCGTTCTCTGACAAGTGAATGGCCTTTGACTGTCGCAGTGGATGAAGTATTTCTCAAAGCTTACCCCGAGCTTGAGAAGAAAAGTTTTTAACCATAGCAACTCCTTTGCTGCCTCTACTGCAGACACGTACTCGGCTTCGGTTGTTGACATAGCCACAGTATCCTATAATTTGGATCTTCAACTTATCGCTCCACCACCCAAGATGAAAATATAGTCGTTCGTGCTCCTTCTTGAGTCTATGTCCCCAGCGTAGTCTGCATCACAAAAGCCCTCTAACTATGAATCTGCCCCGCCATACTTAAGACAATGGTCAGACGAGCATCTCAAGTAGCGTAGAAGCTACTTGACCGTACCCCAGTGGTGCTTTCCTAGATTGCTTATGAAGCTGCTCACAACTCCCACTCCTTGTGTAATATCTGGCCTCGTACACACCATCGCATACATCAAACTTCCGACCGCAGATGCGTATGATATGTTGGCCATGAACTCATGCTCTTCAACAGTCTCTGGTGCTTGGGTCTTCAATAGCTTGATATGGCTCGTAAATTGCGAACCCACCAGTTTAGCTTTCTCCATGCTAAACTTTTTAAAAATCTTCTCAATATAAGCCTTCTGAGACAACCTCAACCTACGTGCTGATCTATCTCTGATGATCATCATCCTAAGAATCTGGTTTGTTGGATCCAGATCCTTCATCTCGAAGCAGTCGGAGAGACGCCCTTTGAGCTTTTCAATGCAGGCCAAGTCGGGCCCTACAATTAACATGTCATCAACATAAATCAAGAGTATCACATAGGATTCGTCATACCTCTTGATGAAGCAGCAGTGGTTTGTGTCGCATTTGAGAAAACCACTCTCCATAAAGTTCTCGAGCTTTATGTACCACTATCGCGGAGCTTACTTCAGGCCATACAAGCTCTTGCCAGGCGATACAAGAGGCCCTTCCTGTCTCGTTCTTCGAAGCCCACCGGTTGATGCATATAGATCTCTTTCTCCAAATCTTCATGAAGGAATGTCATCTTCACATCCATCTGCTCTCGATGAAGATCTCGAATTGCCACAATGCTCAGCACAGTCCAGATCATGATCAACTTGACGATAGGAGTGAAAACATCAGAATAGTTTATCCCTGTTTTCTGCTCATTGCCCTTCACTACAAGCCTCGCTTTGTAGTGTCTTCGTCCATCAACTTCATCATTGACCTAATAAATCTACCGATTGTGAAGAGCCTTTCATCCTCTTGGAAGCTTTACGAGCTCTCAAGTCTCATTCTTCGTCAAGAATTTTATTTTTTCCTCCATGACAAACTCTCACTCGTCCCGAGCTTTATCGGACTGCTGTACCTCCTCATAGCTCTCTGTCTCATCACTGTCAGTCAGAAAAAGATAATTCATGGTGAAAAGGTATCTCTCTGGCACGCTTGAATTTCTTAGAGCTTTGCGAACTACGATCGGCAGCTCTGCTGGATCCTGCTATGGTGCATCCGGCACGTTCTCTTGGTCTCCGTCTTTTATGCTGACTGGTATCTCACCGTCGTCCTCACTGTCAGTAATATATGAGAAAAGAGGGGGAGATAGCTAACTTTTACTCACCTCTTTAGTCTTGTACACCACATTCTCATGGAACACGACGTCACGACTTTGCACCACCTTGCGTACATCATGATCCTAGAAACGGTACTCATACTCATCTCCTCCATAGCCGATGAAAGAGAGTTTCTTTGACTTTGGATCAAGCTTTGACCGGTCTGCAGGATTGGTCATGACATAGGTGTTAACCAAAGACTCGTAAGTGTTCTAGTGTCAGCTTTTTTTCAGTCCAAACCTCTTCAAGTATCCCATAACTGAGAGCCGCGAATGGTCCGTAGTTGATCAAGTATGCAGCAGTATTCACAGCATCGGCCTAAAAACTCTTAGGCAATCCAGAATGGATCCTCATACTTCTGACGCGCTCCAAGATAGTACAATTCATACGCTCTACCACTCCGTTGTGTTGAGGTGTGGCTAGAATGGTCTTCAGTCTCCTAATCCCATGGGATGAGCAGAAGTTCTCGAATTCCTGGCTGCAATATTCGCCTTCATTATCAGACTTTAAACACTTCAGCTTATTGCCTGTTTCGTTCTTCACATAGGCAAGCCGCTTCTTAAAGATGATGAAAACATCTGACTTGTGTTTTAAGAATAACACTCATAGTTTTCTAGTAGCATCATCAATGAAAGAGAAAAAGTAAAGAGAGTTACCAACAGATGGGACTTGCGCAGGGCCTTTGAAGCCGATCTGGTCTTGTTGAAGCTCACCTTTTTCTGTTTGCCTAGGATGCAGTCCTCACAGAAAATCAGATCGATCTTGCTCAAACCCGAAAACCTCTCTTCCGTGGTCATAATCTGCATCTCCTTCTCTCTCATGTGGCCAAGTCGCCGATGCCAAGTCATGCAGTCGGCGGATGATGATGATGATGCTTGTCCTGCAGCAAGCAAGCGGTCGATGTTCCCATTGGTAATGTAAAGAGACCCCTCGCGTTTGTCGTGTGCTATCACCAGGGCATCCTTGGACACCTTCCAGCTTCCCTGCTCGAAGGATACTTTATAACTGGAGTCAGACAATTGCTCGACTGATATAAGATTCCGCGTGAGATCCGGTACATGTCGAATGTCGTTTAGCGTCAAAGTGGTCCCGCCCTCCATCTTGAGGGTACAATTTCCCTTCCGGAGACCTTGCAAGGTTAATTATTACCAAGATAGACTGTCCCCAAGTCATTCACGAACGATGAAAGTAACTTTTGTTGTGAGGTTGCATGGAAAGATGTACTAGAGTTGATGACTCACACATCGCTTTTGTCTTCAAGAGATAGGAGAATCGCATCCGAATCCGTCATGTGCATAAGATTGGCTGCACCATCGGCCTGATCATCCCCTGCTGATGCTGAAACAGAAGCTCTATAGTCCAGTGCAAAGTGATCATTCTTTCCACATCTGAAGCACTTCCTTTCACAGTAACCATTCGGCTTCAGCTCTTTAGACTTCTCTCTGGACTTTGATCGGCCTCGTCGTCCTTTACCATTCTTCTGTGCACGCCCTCGTGCCTCGACATGCAAAGCACTCTCATTGCTAGAGGCCTCAGCTCCTGAGACTTTGCGGTAAGATTCTTCATCCAGAATTGTCCTAATCATTGTGTCAAGTTTCATCTTGTCATTGTCATTGACATTGCTCACCGTCATCACCATATTCTCCCATGAATCTGGTAGACAAGAAAGTAACAGAATAGCTTGGATCTCATTGTCGAACTTGAGATCCACTACAGCAAGCTGTTGCACCGCAGCCTGAAATTCGTTTAAGAAGTCCGTTACGCGAGCTCCTTGTTGCATCTTTAGATTGAATAGCTTCTTCATCAGGTACACCTTATTTGAGGTAGACGACTTCTCATACAGCGCCTCCAAGACCTCCATTAACTCCTTGGTAGTGGTCGCATGCGAGACGTTGTAAGTCACATGCTGATCAAGGTTGAGCATGATGGTGGCAAGTGTTTTATGATCGAGCACCTTTTATCTGCATCCTCCAATACCTAAAATTTTGAACGCCGAACTTCTCAATCCGAAGCCTGTTGTCTTCAACTGTAGATCCCATGACGAAAAATTTCATCTTTCCCAAACCGTATGCTCTGATACCACTTGTTAGGGTACATGCCAAAAAGAACGCCTCAAACGAAGACGCAAAACAAACCCAAACGATCTTGGAATTACAGAATAAAACTAGCAAATACGAATTCAATCACAGTACTCACAGATATAACGTGGTTCACTCTTACGGAGCTACTCCACGGTGCAACGACGACGCCCAATTTCTTTATATTCCTTTCGAGGTTACAAAGGAAAAAGATAAAAGAGAACACCCTCTCTTGATTAAGATACTCTCTAATAATTCTCACAAAGTCTCTCTCAAGATCTCTCAATGATATTACTTATATCTGTATCTTTCTCTTTCTCTCTCTACTATTGAGATACTTTACAAATCAAACTAAGGGGGATATTTAGAAGTTTTCTCATGGGGGTGGTGAACACTATTTGGGGTAGGTGAACACTATAGCAGGGGATAGGTGAACACTATTTGGGGGTAGGTGAACACTGTAGCAGGAGTAGGTGAGAAGGCTATCCACATAGCCTCAACGTTCTCAACACTCCTAGTAAAGAATCTGCTTAGTAAAATAGCTGAGACTAACAATTGTGAATAGTTAATAAAATAGAATTTTTAAAGTTGGTCAATTTTTGTAAATAATATTTAGTGGGTCAAATTTTATAATTAAATATAAAAGTTGTTTCTGAATAGATTTGTCCATAAATAAATTATTCAGTATTCAGAGATCTTGCTTATAACTATGGGCCTATTTGTTTCATTTCCATAAACAATAGTAAACCCATTTCTATGTAGAAAGCCTATTTTTGGGGTTTTCTAGATGATACTGGGAATTGTTTTTTTTTTTTCGCTCAAAATAACCCAGAAAGCAACCATGGAAAGCAGGAGTTTCTTAATACAGAAGTTTGGAGGGAACCCAAAAAAAAAAAAAAAAGGAAAATCACCACTTTATGTAAAGGCTAGATATCCCAAAACACTTCTCCACAATTATAGATTAATTTTTTTCACCTTTCCAGCAATCTCCACTCTAAAAACTTCGAACTGGGGTTTTTGCAAAATGCTGTCATTTTCTGACGTTTCTTGACAATGTTTATTGAAATTACAAAAGCAACCAGACACATTATTAGGAAACCTTTTGGTGTTTTTTGACAGTTTCCACCTGTGTGGTTTCCAACCATTTCCGTACTTTTCCAAGTGAAAGGAACAGGCACTATATGTATTCTTTCTGTTTTAGTGTAAAATTTAGAAAAATAAGTTTTAATATGTGACTAGTGCATTTGCATGCGCAAAACTGCTAGTACATATAAAGATCATGCTTGTGTTTACAGAAAATTTACTCTTCATGGTTGGTCTCATAACAAGACTAACATATAGCACACTCTACCAAAGGACCTTTATTTTAGTGCATAAATCTTCAAATTGTGGTAATTCCAAAGAAATGCGAAAAAAGTTGAGTTTGAAGTTGTGGGATCAATGTTTATATAGACACAGAACCTTTGATAATCCAATATTTCAATTTATACTTTGCCTCCTGGGGACCAATGTTTTATTTTTTGGTCAATGTGAATTTTATTTCATTACCAATTGCGCATGAAGTACAGAGTTATCAGGTTACAACCAGATCCAATATATCACAAAACAAGTAATCAAAACCGCTCACAACTCACAGTACAAAATATCACTCAAAACACATATGACAATCATTTGAGGGAATCAACCCAGTTTTGGTACTTGACAGGATTTGAAGCATGAAACACAGATGTAAGCACCAAAACTTTGTATCTCCTGATAAGCCATTCACAGGGCCTTTCTTCTTCATTGTGAAGTCTTCTGTTCCTCTCCATCCATAAGCAGTATATACAAGTAACAAAACAAGCTACTTTCAGTTTCTTATTAAACGAATTATCCCTCATATTCTTCACTCACAACTTCTAAATCTCAAATACAATGAATGCATTATCTCATTCCAAACCTGACAAGAGTAAATGTTGGTGATCTTCCTGCTCAGATTTGCAAAGAATACATAAACTCTGCTGAACAATCCCCATTTTGATCAATCTGTTATTAGTTAAATGTTTTTGTGTGAAAGCTAACCAGACAACGAAGGAGTGTTTTGAAATACACGATGAACACCATACTGATTGATACCAATCAATCCACTGCAGGTAAGAGAGAATGATATATAAATGAAAATTTACAACCTGACCCGCAAATTGCTTTTATCTTTGGGTGATATTGTCAAGAAATCCCCATGTAGCCAAGACAAAATCCCCTACTTTCAATAATTTCTTCCAGCACCAAGAATCACCATTTCTAGCCTGAACCTTCCAAAATTAGCCTTTGCCTCCTCGTGTCCAATGTTTTAGATCAAGTACATTTTTTGTTTAACATTGATTACAATTGCAGCATATCACAGATCATTTTCCAAGATTGCCTGTTCGTTCCTACTCACTTTATGCTTGTTGTTTAAACTGCTAACATACATTTGATTTTTTTCGGAAGTTGTACTGCTGTTATCCCTTGACGAAAAGTCTATTTTGCAAGAGCACAAGACTCCTATTCTTTAACATATCAAATGTTAAGCATTTAAAATAAACAAGTGTTTCTTCATTTTTAATAGTGCAATGTAAACACGTGTTTCTTCATTTTTATTAGTCCAAGGGGCTTAAGTTTCAAAACTTGGAAGTTCTCAAAAAAAAAAGTTTCAGTCCTTGTGTTTAGTTCTTTTGTGTTGGAAAGTGTAAGAGATGATCTTCTTCATTCGAAATGATATGCATATGATCATGATCATACACAATGTTTTTTTTTTTTTTTAAAGTTTTATGACTTTTGATAGCTTAAGCATGTTTTGGGGGCTACTTAGCGCAATCTTTTTAAGGTGACATGAGAAGAAGGATAAGAAGAAAATTCTAACACATTTTTGCCTAATGCAGATGAAGTGGAGCCCATTTCATACGTTAACACTATCAGGCCAGATTCTTTACTTGGATCATGAACTTGGTAAAGATATTTATTCTGTAGACAAGGTACTGCATTTATTGTAAAAGCTGCTGATCATCTCCTGTAGCTTTTCTCATCAAAAGAATGAAGCTTGAGGAATGAGGACTTTTGGTGACACACGATGGTTTTACGGCTCTCCATGGAGCAGTGATTGGCAAAAAGGAGGCCATTATCAGCAATCTTTTAAGGAAAGTTAGGATAGGGTGAGGACGTTCTTTTGGCTTCATCTTACTGATATTGTGTATATTTTTATTTTGGGTAAATTTTTTCATCAATGTTGCAGGACGGTGCCCCTCTGCTACATCATGCAGTTCAAGTTGATGTCATGCAAACTGTGAAGTTACTGATCAAATACAGACTTGATGTAAATGTTGCAGATAAGGTGTGGTATATAAGTGGCCACCTTTCTGTTGAGTTATCTGGATTTACTAAATACCTGCTTTATTACATAAAGGACGGATGGACTCCATTGCATGTAGCTATGCAAAGTCACCTAGAGACATAACAAAAGTATTGTTGGTAAATGGTGCTGACAAAACAAGAAATAATAAGGTAATGACTGCAAAACTTGCATTCAGCCTATGAATCTGATATGGAGTTTTATTTTAGTTTGTATTATTGACCAACTGAACATGTTTCATTATTTACAATTTAATCATCTCTAGCATAATCGTACATGCATTGTGAATCTAGTGGTCCTCTTTTAGTTATATGTTGAGAAATTTCCCCCCAGAAGTGGGCCTGAACCAAGTCACCGACATATGCATGAAGTCATCTATTTATGTGTCTTTGATATATGTATATTCGATTATATACAGGTGCATTAGCTAAACATCTAAAATGGTAAAATGATCTATAAGAGAATCAAACTTTGTAAAGCAGGGAGCATAATATATTTTAACCTGTATATATTTGTAGCGAATAAAAGTTAATATTTTTGCAGAAAATGAATGAAGATAGACAAGTCTTTTCTGTGGGAGCAGTGTCCCTACATGCCAATTCTTGGTTAGGGGGAATGGCTTACGGAAAACTTTAGTCTTTAATATAGAACAAAGTTGTGGAAAGCAGAAAGCAGAGCGAAGCTGCAAGATGCCACTTACGCTTTTTGGAATTAAGCGAAGCTTAAATGGAAAAAACATCAAGGTAATTTGCTTTTTGATTTTTTAAATAGGGGCAAAATTCAAAAAAATTCAAAAAAAATTGAAAATTATAAAATAAGCAAAAAAATAGGAAGAAATTTGTTCTACAAATGCATGTATAATGTGTAGAGATCCTAACCATGAAATAGATGTGTAAATATTTAGATTCAATTATGCAATATTAACAGAATGCTATGTGCATGACAATGTGATAAACTAATATCTAGCATACTATGCGCACCAAATAGTCAACAAGTTAATAACTTAATGTAAATTATCTCCTTTTGATGGCTTCTTTTTGGTTTAATGACCATCTGCAGCGCTTTTTCTACCAAGTCTGCTTATGGAGGGGGCTTTTTCAAGTGGAAAACAGGCTCAAAATGCTTAAGCGGTCGTGTAAGATCTGCCTTTTCCTGCTTTTTAGAACACTATTATAGACATGCTTCAATCAGCAGTATTCACCAAAAAAAATTTCACTTTGTAGGTTACTACATAATGGAAACATGATAAGGTACGGTTCCTGCAACAAGAAGATGAATTTTGTCGTTTCTCTCTCTGAATCTGTTGACAAGTAGGAACCAAAATATTAACTAAATTTAACTCTTCGGATTGCATAGCTGATGTAGAATGCATAAAATATCTACTTGCAGTTGAACAACAACCACAGCTCTTGGATCCTATCTTACTTGAAAGAAACGAAATCATAATCTGATGTGGAAAGCAATATATCATTGAAGCTACAGTGCAGATTTGATACCAAAACTTCTTAACCCTACCACTGGCTCTTGACATGGGAATATTTTTTTGATAGCTCTTGAGTATATAGGATTTAACGTGGTTCGGTCAGTATGACCTACGTCTACGGACAAGAACAGCAGAGAACTTCACTAATCACCAAAAGAGAAGATTACAAAAGAGGAGACCACTCTCTAACCAAAGACTCTCACAAAGAAAGAGACAAATTCTTTCTATCTCACTCATTTCTCTCTCTATTCAACTCTTTTCTTTTCTTTCTCTTTTGGTGATTGGTGATTAGTGAAGTTCTCTGCTGTTCTCGTCCGTGGATATAGGTCATACTGACCGAACCACGTTAAATCCTTGTGTGTTTTCTATTTGTCCACTCTTGTATAGACATCTTCTGTGTATGTGAAACCCCTCCGATGCAACAAACTGATATCAGAGCCTGTTTAGAGTACGTGCATCTGCTTATCTATGCTCTGTGGCTACCACTAAAAGTGGATCTTCCACATCAGAAAATAAGTTAGATTATCATTTACTCTTTAAAGGTATTGGGTACTATTCACGTGTAAGGTACTATTCAAAAGTATTGTTACTATTCATACATACGGTTACTATTCATACATACGGTTAATGTTCACAAATACGGTTACTGCTCATAAATACAGTTACTGTTTTAGTTGGCTTCAAGATATCTTCTGCGAAATATAAAGTGGAGAAATTCGATGGGAGAAACAGCTCCAGTTTATGGAGAGTAAAAATAAAGGCTCTCCTAGTACAACAAGAACTATTCAAAGTCTTGTCCGAAAAGAATAAGTTGCCGGAATCTATGCCTGATGATGAGAAAGAAGAGTCGGAGATGAAGGCGCATAGTACAATACAGCTCTGTTTGACCGATGAGGTCCTGTGGGAGGTTGCAAATAAAGATACCGCTGCTGGCTTGTGGCTCAAGTTGGAGAGGTTGTACATGACGAAATCTCTAACAAACAAGTTGTACTTGAAGCAACGCCTCTTCACCCTTCGCATGAAGGAAGGTATGCGAATTAAAGACCACTTAGATGAATTCGCATGAAGGAAGGTATGCGAATTAAAGACCACTTAGATGAACTTAACACTATTCTTATGGATTTAAAGAATATTTGAACTTAACACTATTCTTATGGATTTAAAGAATATTGATGTTAAAATTGACGAAGAAGATCAAGCACTCGTCTTGTTATGTTCATTACCTCATTCCTATAAAAATTTTATCAATAGCATGTTATACGGTAGAGATACACTTTCTTTGGAGGATGTCAAATCAGCTTTACATTCAAAAGAGTTAAGGCAGAAAGTGTTTGTCGTAGGAGGAGAGGATCAAGCTGAAGGCTTGTTCGTGATCGTCCTGAAAAGGGTGTTGGTGGTAGAGGCAAGTCTAGAAACATGTCTAGATCAAAGTCCACGCTAAGAAGAAATGTTGAATGTTATTACTGTCATAAATATTGGCATATAAAACCTAATTGTCCTGCTCTCAAAGCAAAGGACAATTCACAGTCGAAGTCTGGGGATGTAAAACCTTCAGTTGCCACTATAACTGAAGAGTCTTCTAGTTCACATGAAGTTTTTTCAGTTAGTGTTAATACTCATTCACAAGATGAGTGGGTTCTTGATTCGGGTTGTTCCTACCATATATGTCCACATAGGAATTGGTTTGTCACATATCAGTCTATCAATAGTGGGAATATCTTGTTGGGAAATAACATGCCTTGTAAAACTATTGGTATCAGATTAATTAAGATTAGAACCCATGATGGTATTGTTAGAACATTGAGCAATGTCCGTCATATTCCAGAGTTAAAGAAGAACCTCATTTCTTTAGGTACCCTTGACTCAAATGGTTTTAAGTTTTCGGCTGAAGGTGGAGTTTTGAGAGTAAGTAAAGGCTCTCTTGTTGTGATGAAAGGAAAGAAGGTAAATACCCTCTATATCCTTGAAGGTAGTACAGAGACAGGTGCTACAGCAGTGTCATCCTCAGAGGATTCAGATTCAGACACTACACATTTATGGTATATGCGGTTAGGGCATATGAGTGGGAGAGAACTGGATATATTGAGCAAACAAGGTCTGCTTTGTGGTCAGAAAACCAGCAAATTAGACTTTTGTGAGCATTGTGTTTTCGGCAAACACCATAGAGTATCCTTTAGTACCGGTGTCCATAGAACCAAGGGTACTTTAGATTATATTCATTCAGATGTTTAGGGTTCCTCTCAGGTTCCATCGAAAGGTGGAGCTCGTTTTCTGCTAATATTAATTGATGATTATTTCAGAAAAGTTTGGGTGTATCCTTTGAAGCATAAGAGTGATGTGTTTGTAACCTTCAAGCAATGAAAGATTATGATTGAGAAGCAAACAGGAAAGAAAGTAAAGCGCCTCAAAACCGACAATGGGATGGAGTTTTGTTCAACAGAGTTTGACCAGTTCTGTAAGAATAAAGGTATTGTGCGTCATCGTACAGTTCGGCATACACCATAGCAAAATGGAGTTGCAGAAAGGATGAACAGAACACTTTTAGAGAGAGCTCAGTGCATGCTCTCTAATGTCGGTTTGTCAAAAGACTTTTAGGTCGAGGCAGTCAATATAGCTTGCTATTTGATAAACAGATCTCCTTCTATAGCAATTGATTTCAAGACTCCAGAAAAGGTATGGTCTGGTGCCCCTGCTAATTACTCTCATTTAAGAGTATTTGGTTGCTCTGTTTATTTTCATGTTAATGATGGTAAGCTTGAACCTAGAGCAAAGAAAGCTATCTATCTAGAATATGCTACTGGGATGAAGGAATATAGATTGTAGTGTTCTGATCCCAAGTCACCTAAGTTTATTATTAATAGGGATGTTATTTTTGATGAAAAATCCATGCTTCACCTGAGAAAGGAGTTTGCTATTAACACTACAGGTATTGAAAATGAGTCTAACAAACAGGTGGACCTAGAGAGCTCAACTTCAAAGAGAGTGCTTGAGGGCGCTCATGTTGAACCAGTTGATACTGCGGATGGTTCAACTTCAGATGCTGATACACCACAAGAGCAACAGTATAATATTTCCACCGGGAGAACAAAAAGGCAGATCCGACCTCCTCAACGTTATGCAGACATGCTTGCTTATGCTTTGAGTATAGCAGAATCGATTGAGGTTCCAGAGCCTTCTACTTATAAGGAGGCTATTAGTGGCAATGAGGCTGCAAATTGGACTATTGCGATGACTGAAGAGATGGAGTCTCTTCACAAGAACCAGACATGGGAGCTAGTAAAGCTACCAAGGGGACAGAAGATTGTTGGCTGTAAATGAGTCTTCAAGAAGAAAGAAGAAGCTTCGGATACAGATTCTATAAGGTATAAGGCATGCTTGGTAGCTAAAGGTTACAGTCAGACCTAAGGTGTGAACTTCAATGAAGTATTCTCTCCAGTTATAAAACACACCTCAATCCGTGTGTTGCTTGCCATGGTTGCTCATTTTAATTTGGAGCTTGAGCAACTTGATATGAAGACGACTTTTCTACATGGCGAGCTTGAGGAGCAGATCTTTATGCATCAGCCAGATAGATTCATTGTTGAAGATAAAGAAGATCATGTGTGCAGGTTAAAGAAATCTCTTTATGGGTTGAAGCAGTCTCCGAAGCAGTGGTATTTGAGATTTGATACTTTCATGTTTGAGCATGGTTACTCTAAGAGTAAATATGATAGTTGTGTTTATCATAAAAAGCTCAATGATGGTTTTTTTGTATATTTGCTTTTGTATATTGATAACATGTTGATTGCAGCTAAAGATATGTCAGAAATCAACGAGTTAAAATCTCAACTCAAACATGAGTTTGAGATGAAAGACTTAAATATAGATTGTAGTGTTCTGATCCCAAGTCACCTAAGTTTATTATTAATAGGGATGTTATTTTTGATGAAAAATCCATGCTTCACCTGAGAAAGGAGTTTGCTATTAACACTACAGGTATTGAAAATGAGTCTAACAAACAGGTGGACCTAGAGAGCTCAACTTCAAAGAGAGTGCTTGAGGGCGCTCATGTTGAACCAGTTGATACTGCGGATGGTTCAACTTCAGATGCTGATACACCACAAGAGCAACAGTATAATATTTCCACCGGGAGAACAAAAAGGCAGATCCGACCTCCTCAACGTTATGCAGACATGCTTGCTTATGCTTTGAGTATAGCAGAATCGATTGAGGTTCCAGAGCCTTCTACTTATAAGGAGGCTATTAGTGGCAATGAGGCTGCAAATTGGACTATTGCGATGACTGAAGAGATGGAGTCTCTTCACAAGAACCAGACATGGGAGCTAGTAAAGCTACCAAGGGGACAGAAGATTGTTGGCTGTAAATGAGTCTTCAAGAAGAAAGAAGAAGCTTCGGATACAGATTCTATAAGGTATAAGGCATGCTTGGTAGCTAAAGGTTACAGTCAGACCTAAGGTGTGAACTTCAATGAAGTATTCTCTCCAGTTATAAAACACACCTCAATCCGTGTGTTGCTTGCCATGGTTGCTCATTTTAATTTGGAGCTTGAGCAACTTGATATGAAGACGACTTTTCTACATGGCGAGCTTGAGGAGCAGATCTTTATGCATCAGCCAGATAGATTCATTGTTGAAGATAAAGAAGATCATGTGTGCAGGTTAAAGAAATCTCTTTATGGGTTGAAGCAGTCTCCGAAGCAGTGGTATTTGAGATTTGATACTTTCATGTTTGAGCATGGTTACTCTAAGAGTAAATATGATAGTTGTGTTTATCATAAAAAGCTCAATGATGGTTTTTTTGTATATTTGCTTTTGTATATTGATAACATGTTGATTGCAGCTAAAGATATGTCAGAAATCAACGAGTTAAAATCTCAACTCAAACATGAGTTTGAGATGAAAGACTTAGGAGTAGCAAAAAAGATTTTAGGGATGGAGATCCACAGGAACAGACGAGAAGGAAGTTTATTCCTATCTCAGGAGAAATACATCAAGAAGGTATTGGAGAGATTTGACATGCTTGATGCCAAGCCTGTGAAGACTTCGCTTGCCGCTCATTTTCGTCTTTCAGTAGATTTGTCACCTCGACTGAGGAGGAGGAGGAGTACATGTCTTGTGTTCCTTATGCTAGTACAGTTGGAAGCATTATGTATGTGATGGTCTGCACCCATCCAGATATTTCACATGCAGTCAGCGTTGTGAGTCGGTATATGGATAAGTCTGGAAATGTCCATTGGCAGGCTGTGAAATGGATACTTAGATATTTGAGAGGATCTGCTAATATTGGTTTGTATTTTGGTAGGAACCAGTGTTTTCAATGCGCGAGGCGCAATACGCGCAAAGTCAGTTTACGTGTACATGCGCAAGGCGCAATGCGATGCGCGCGCCCGAGCGAAGTGAGGCGCACTCCAAATAATATATTGCATCACTAATAACTATATTGCTAAATTTTATTTTCCTCTTTACAGGTTACAAATGGTAATAATATATTGCATCACTAATAACTATATTGCTAAATTTTATTTTCCTCTTTACAGGTTACAAATGGTAAATCAAGTTTCAAGTTTCAAGTCAACTAGTAGCACTGCACCTAGCTCAAATAACAAGATTCAATACTCGCAATCTCGCACAAGAAATCAGATAGTAGCACATTTTCAACAATTATTACTGATATGTATTAATAAGAAGCAAATAGTAGCAATTTCATAACTTCATAACTCTGCAGTTTGCACATTTCAACAATCATATGCTCATTTAAAATAAGATAAATCTCTCCTTATTAATCATTAGCCTATTATTAATCAAGTGATCAAACATCAAGTAATCATTAGCCTATTATTAATCAAAATAGTGAACGGAAGCAGAAAATAACCGCAACAAAAAAGTGGGAAAAAAAGAAAACTGGAAAAAAAAGAAGAAAAAAAGAAAACTGGAAAAAAAACTGGAAAAAAAAGAAGAAAAAAAGAAAACCGGAAAACAAAAAGAAAACTGAAAAAAACTGGAAAAAAGTGGAAAAAACAAAGAAAAAAACGAAAGCTGGAAACGAAGGAGGAGAAAAAAAAAGAAAGCTGAAAATAGAAAAAACTAAAAAACGAAATACTAACCTTGCGCTGTCGATCTTCGTCTTCGTGGCCGCCCGTCTTCGTAGATGCAGACAAAGATCGGAGGAGAGGTAAGTGGATCTCAGAACCCTAGAGCTCGATTTAGTTCTCTCTGTTTTCATTCCCCCTTTTTGATTTCGGATTTACTTTTGGGAAGCGGGTTTGTACCCGAACCCAATTGATTGCGGTTCTGGAACTAGGGCGATCGCCCTGCGCTTGGCGTCAGGCGCTGCGGGGCGCTCCCCAGGCGCGCGCCCGACGCAAGCGTAGCGCCCCGCACCTGATGCGGGGTGCTATGCTATTGCGCCGAAGCGCCTCGCGCCCGAGGCGCGCGCCCCAAATCGCCCTTAAAAACACTGGTAGGAACACAGACTCAGATTGCAGAATACTTGGCTATTCTAATTCAGATTATGCGGGCGATTTGGATAAGAGACGATCCTTGACAGGTTATATATTCACTCTTTCAGGTAGTGCCATTAGTTGGAAGGCGACTCTGCAGTCGACAGTTGCTTTGTCTACCACAGAGGCAGAGTATATGGCAGTGACAGAAGCAGTGAAAGAAGCTATTTGGTTGAGAGGTTTGGTTGAAGATCTCGGCTTACACCAAGGTGTTACTACGATATTTTGTGACAGTCAGAGTGCTATACATTTGATGAAGCATCAGATGTATCATGAAAGAACCAAACATATAGATGTCAGGTATCATTTTATCAGAGAAGTTAAAGTCATCAGGATTAAGAAAATTGGTACTGCAGATAATCCAACAGATATGATGATGAAGCTCGTACCTTCGCGCAAGTTCGAGCATTGTCTCGAATTTCTTAGAGTTCAACATAGCGGAGGTTAAGCCCGTAAGGGGCTTCTGGCGAGACAGCAAGAGTAAAGAGAAGATCTTCATATTCAAAGTCAATATGGAGATTTGTTAAACGTGACTTTGAAGATAAAGGAAAAATCAAACCTCACCATCCCTCTCTCTGGTGTTTTTTCAATTGTCAAAACTCACCAACCATTTTGTATTATTTTATTAATATTTTGAGCTTATAAAAGGGAGGTTGTGGAGAGTTCTCGTAGTACGAACAAAACTCAGAGAAAGAAAAGAAAAGAGTTAGAGAGAGAAGTGAGTGAGATAGAAAGAATTTGTCTCTTTCTTTGTGAGAGTCTCTGGTTAGAAAGTGGTCTCCTCTTTTATAATCTTCTCTTTTGGTGATTAGTGAAGTTCTCTGCTGTTCTCGTCCGTGGACGTAGGTCATACTGACCGAACCACATTAAATCCTTGTGTGCTGTTTTCTATTTGTCCACTCTTGTATAGACATCTTCTGTGTATGTGAAGCCCCTCCGCTGTAACAAACTGGTATCAGAGCCATATATATATATATATATATATATATATATATATATATATATTTCTTTTTTTTTATCTTTTTTCTTCTTATGCAATGAGTATGGATATATGTCACACTTGGATCATTGTAAGACTGCCACTGATAATGAGTTAATGATATTTATTCTGAAAGATTCCTTTCTCAAAAGCACCCATTAGTTAAATGGAAATTAATGTATTCTTCTGCTTTGTATCCTGATTACAAGTTTACCGCAGCCACTAACTAGAAGAAAGATGTATGTTTTGATAGCTTATGCCAAGTTCCTGAAAATCCAGAAATAACTGACTCATTGTATCTTTTCAATAAATGAAGATTGTTCGGTGTTGCATCTCTAGCTCCTTGTTTCCTGTCCTGCAACACTTAAGTCTATGTATGTTGAAGTTTGTTAAACATCTTTAAACCAAATGTTGATTGACCAAAAGAACAAATCTTTCTTCATTGTTTTTTTGACATTTCTTTCACGCTTTTAGGATGGGAGAATACCTTTAAATCTAAGCTTATGCTTATGAAAAAGGTTTCAAATCGTATGAGCTGCCAATCTGCTCAAAGTTGTTTCAGCAAATAGGGATCTGTAGAAAACCTGCCTTATCATACAACTCAGGCAAGTTGACGTGTATCCTTATTGATTTCATAATTAACCATTTAATGGTTTTTGTGTTGTGTTGGAGGTCTCATGTTTCCACCAAAGTTTTATCATTTGTTCTGAAGTTAGTGGGGATCTCAGTCGTTCAAAGAAATCCTTCATCTGGAAGTCTTTGAAGACCGCAGTTATTAGTTTCTTGAGATGTTCATTATACATTGTTCTTGAAAACATTAGCGATTATACGACTAAATTAGATGATCATTTTGCTTCCTACATCAGGATGGATCCTAATTTGTTTATTTGTTCAATCTAATGTAGTATGTTGTTTTCTTATGCTGCTGCAAAGGGAATTCGGAACGCTCCAAGGCTCTTTTACTTGTTCCCATTTAATGTGGTTAAAATTGCAATTGCTACTGCGATCCTGAGGGAAAAGTTTGTGTAAAATAACCAAATTTATAAATGTATATTCATTTGCCCCTTTTGGTATAGCTTGAATTAAAGCTAAGCACAACTCAAAATAAATGCATCTCATCAACTAACTTCTTTGTCTAGATTGATTCTTTTAGGAATAAATTGGGTGTGGCATGAAGGTTTCATGATCTTCAAATGCATAATTGATGGCAGGGATAAAGTCAATTCTTTTTGCATGATCTGCATATTTTCTAGTCAACAGAAAACAATGGATCTCTGTGGAACTTGTCAAATCTGTCTCAATAATCACCAATAGTATTTCATCACGAGTTGTGATGATTCGCAGCAAATATTTATGCATCTCTTTCACACATAAGAATGATGCAATATGTATTTTTTTGGTTATTGTCACTTTCCTAGTAGCTAGTAAAGGTAGATTAACTAGATGATGTAGATTTGATAAAAGTAAATTTAAAGGATCTTTGCATTTCCAAGTTGAAGTTTCTGTTTCTTGGTGTTGAAAATGTGTGACCAACCAAACTAACATCCTTACAAAGTGAAGGGAGACAGTTAGACATGTTCTTGGTCACTTACAGTTTTCCTGGCCTCTTATACATCATAATGGAGGTCTCAGAGTACCTAAATTTGCCGAGATATGGAAATCAGCTATGAGGAAGAGAGGGTGCTTTCATTGCCCATTACAACTTTAGAGAACACCAACAACATTGAGATTGACATAGAAAAGGACAGGGACATTCCACTTCCCATTTTTCTCAAGGTATTACCACTACCACCACCACCACCACCACAAGTTTCAAACTGCAACAAAATCTGAGTGAACCATATTTCCTTTATTTTTTCTTCAATCTGGATACAGTTTGCAGATGTGGAGTATAGGGTTCATCAGGGGTCACGAAATCCGGTAAAGGCTGTAATGTCAAGTGTAGCCTCACAGTTGAGGATGGAAAGAGGAGGCAAGCAAATATTAAAGGGCATAACGGGAAGTGTAGGACCAGGAGAAATCTTGGCCTTGATGGGGCCTTCTGGGAGTGGGAAGACTTCTCTGCTAAAGATTCTTGGTGGAAGGTTGCATGGAGACATTAAAGGGAGCATAACTTATAATGATACTCCTTATTGCCCCCGTCTCAAAAAGAGGTACACCGAGAGCAAACTATTTATATAAAGGTAGATTGCATATAATCCCTCTTATCTATACCCCCAGTAGCATTTATGATCATCAACTCATTTGTGAGCACTCATCACTCTTCACTTCATGAGGGAGAGAGGTGTCATCTGCAATTTATCCTTTTAGAAATACCAATCCAGGGATGTTAAGTGCTAAATGGAGCTGAGGGGTGATACGTGTTTCCGAAGGTATAGATGAGGGAGATTTTCTACAATTTTTCTTAATGTAATGATATTAAAGGAAATTAACAATAATATATATCCAGTTGAAATTAGTAAATTGCTAATCATTTAGTAAGTGCTAAGTGTAAGTGTTTTCTTTACACATGTACACACATACATACTTGTTCATACAGACTTAACAACTGAGGTTCATAGTTGGTCGAAGATGATATTGTTCATAACTTAAGGACATACACTGTATGCATGTGTACCATGATCTGGGATAATAGCATTACAAAACATGCAATATATTTTGAGATTTATGCTTCAATGCCCTCGAATAATTGATAATATATGTATGAGCCTCTGCAAGGAATTTCAGTCATTCTTTACAAAATAGTTGATTGAGAAATGCGGAAAATTCTCTGAGAAATAGTTGTTCAATATTTTTTTAATTACCAGAAAACAGGCTTTACATATCATGACCATTCGAATTTGTAGAATTTTCATTCTGACTATCTTTTGTGGCCCCTGAAACAAATAAATAATCAGTTGTTATAATACTGTTGTATATGCATTACCTGTCGTTAACCCTCTCATTGACTAAAAGAAAACGAGCATACTGAGATAGAGATTAACAATTGCCGACAGGATCGGATTTGTGACCCAAGATGATGTGCTCTTTCCTCATCTCACAGTGGAAGAAACTCTAGTCTTTGCTGCATTCTTAAGGCTTCCAAGGAACATGACTAGGCAACAAAAGTACTCTAGAGCTGATGCAATCATCAAGGAGTTGAGTCTTGAAAGGTTGGTACTAATTTCTATCATCCATAAGCAATAAGTTTGTAATATAAAATAATTTTTTTTCTTGAAGCAAAGATTAAAATATTGGTTTCTTTCTAGTTGTTTCAACAATTTTGTACTCGTACTACTTTTAAGGAAGTATGCTACCATTTAACAGATCCCAAAAAAAACAAAAGATTACTAAAGATCTATGTATAATTAGAAATGTAACAAATATTTTGGCAGATGGTGCTAAAAAGTGCAGTTGTTTTCATGTAATTGCGATATTCCTTTTTTTCCAATTTATTTTCTACAGATTGAGTTGAATCTGGGATTTTCAACCGACTGCAGTTTGAAGTCAGATTAATCTTAAGGTTTTTAGATGGTTTTGAAACCTGAACTAAGCAAAAAATTTAAGAATATGATACTTAAGAGAAAAAAATATTAGTAAAGTGAAGCTTAAACGAATCTATCTGAAAAAATCTGAGCCAATCCTCAAACTTTTTGTTAAATGATTGGATTTCTCTCTTATTAGAACCTAGCCTAAGCCTTGTCATGTTTTATATTAGGCATCCAATCCACATGTTTCTAATCTGCATTCTTAAATTATTTAAGTTGTTCTAAGTTACATCCTCAAGTGAAATCCATCAAAATCTGTTATGATGATGTGGTTAAATCTTGTCAACTACTGATGTTTAATCTTAATACCTTTGGTTAGATTATACTGCTTGAGTTTTAAGTCCCTAGTCTATCCCATTTCTCTCTCCTCTAAGCAACCTCTCTCCGCAATCTCCCTCTTCTTTCTGGTTCAATCACTGGAGTTTAACAAGACTAGTATATTCTAATCATGGGCATTATGGTAAACTGCTGGCAATGGATAAGAATTAATTACATAATAGTTATATATGCGCACAAGGGAGTTAATTAAGAAACTTAGAGGGTATAAGATTTAAATAAAAAGTATATTAATATTTAGGGATCTAATGGAAAAATATGATAGAACTTCGCAGATGTAGACACTCTAGAATTGGAGATCCCGGTTCCAAAGCCTCGGTTGTGTAACCTGAATAGACTTCCAAATTATTTTGAATTTTTTTTTCATTGACCAAAAAATGTGACGAAACCCCTAAATAATTTTATTTTCTGTATAAGCTAGCTCTGTATGTTTTATTTGGCATAGCCAACTATTTGTAGATATTTCAGGAAGTTAATAATGGCATAGTGCACGTTTGGTATTCAGATGTAGACACTCTAGAATTGGAGGAGCATTGGAGAAAGGCATATCAGGAGGAGAGAGAAAAAGGACAAGCATTGGTTATGAAATACTAGTCGACCCCTCACTGCTGTTTCTTGATGAGCCAACATCAGGCCTTGACTCCACCTCTGCTAGCAAGCTCCTCCATGTTCTTCTGAGCCTTGCAAGGGTAATGTTCACTCATAATTATACATCATATAATTACATATCCATGATATGACAAGAAAAGAAAATAAGTTAAGGCAATGAAATATGTCAACTTAATGGATTTACTTAAATCAAACATGGATTTACTTAAATCAAACATGATAAGGCAAAATCTGCCTTTCCATTGGGATGATTCTTGTTTGTATATCCATATTCTATATTTTATCGAACTCCTATTTACTCCAAAGCCTGAAGCGATACACCAAATTTTTTGCAACCAAAAACAACACAATGCATAACATATGCATTTAGTAGTTAGTAGCAGCATGCCACAAGTAAAGCTGGTTGCATGGACTGAGATATTATAGTTACTATTTACATCTTTAGGTAAACTACAGGAAACCTCCTTCGTCTAGACCATATTTTAAAAGAATCCACCTCATCTGAAAAGT